TTTTCGTCCTCTTTGTTTTCTTCTTGGCGCACTTCATCACAAAATGTCTCGAAATCACAATCAGATTCGTCCTGAAACTTTATTTCTTCGTCGGAACTGTCACTCATGGGCGAAGTTAAGGGGGGGCTTGGGGGGGCTAAGCCCCCCCAAAAACCAAATTAGCCCCCCCAAAAATAATTCGAACATTTATTGCACATCCACCCAAACATTTCAGATTTCAGAACAGAAATTAAAAAATAAAAAGAATCGCGCCATTTGATTGATTCTGCAATTTTACATTTAGTTCAGGAGGCAGTGAATTTTTTTCGTATTCATTTTTCCAGTCGGTGTATATGAAAAATAAACTGTTCTCTTAGTGACAAAAAACAAAATTTTTGAGTCTGACACTTATTTTCCCAGTCATAATTATTTTACATTTACTAAACTAGAACATAAAGCTTATAGAAATAGCAGTTTGGATTATCTCAGATAGTGGAAAGTGAGTGTGGCAGAAAATTGTGAGCATATAAATTGATACAATCATGAACTGTTTATAATAATAAGTCTGGCTGATTTACGAAATTGGCTAATGAGTCTGGTAATATCTTCTAAATGGAAAAAATATAATATTTTTGCTTTGATTTTCCCGGGTTTGAAAATTTGTCACGTGATAGATTAAATTATAATTTTACACCTCCATTTTATAGCCAATCAACTGCTGTTATTTTAAAACACTTTCATGACAACCAGAAAAATTTCCGGAAATTTTTCTTTTGGTGGGTACCCTGAACGAAATTATACTGAACATTTTTTTGACAGTTGAGCAGCTCTTTCATGCATATAAAAAATTTGCCATTTCAGTGGTTAATATTTTATTTAATACCAATTATAACTAGGTAGAAATACACTACATTTATTTTATGTAAAATAATAAATAGGTTTTTCGCGTCAACTAAACGACTTCAAATATGACAAATGGTCATGGTATGGCCACAGCATATGAAACATATGTTTTATATTCTGTGGTATGGCTGGCTACCTTTGAAAATTTGATTTTAGTTGTTTTAATGCATGTCTGTCAAGTTTTGAAATTTGGATATTTTGGTGTAAAACTTTCTTACCCAATACCAAACGTGCCTAAATTATTATCAGTAAATTTTTGCATACTCACGCATATTTTAAGAACATTATCCATCTACTTAGGATAAATTTCAAAATATTCGTAAGTGAAAATACACGTCTGGCTGACAATTACAATTACGGAGGTCTGCCAGACTCACAAGTAGTGTCCGACCGAAGGTTCGGTTACGGTTTCGGCCAACTTTGGCTTTAAATAATAGTTTCGACTATAGTTTCGGTTGCGGCGGAAAACTGGCCGAAACTGCAGCCGACAGCGAAACTACTTTTAAAAGTTTTCGTATCACAATTGGTTGTGTTTGGCACAATGGCGACTGTGCCGGGTGCCATTCCTACACAGTGCACGTACACACAAACTTCTCTGCTTTGTTTCAAGTAAACATGTCAATAAATGTATTAATGGCTTCTTTTCATCACATAAATAAATAGGTAATAAGTAAATGTAGCTAAAATTTATAATACGAGTTAATTAGTCTAAAACAAGGATTACAATGAGATATTGCAAATTTCAATAAGAGATTGCCTTAAAAGAAAGTTCTTGTTTCTGTTTCGGCCGAAACTAAGAAAGGAGCCGAAATTTGGTTTCTGTTTCGGTTATAAAACCATATTTCGGTCGGACCTGACAAGCCAGGTAGTTAAACGAGGAGAGGAATAGTAATCGAACGTGCCGAATTTAGCGCGCCTGACGGTCATTAGACGAGTCTGGCAAGGCTTTCGGGGTGTTCCACATTAGCCAGATTGTATTTTAAGCTGTTATAATAATATACATTTTTCTAGTAGTGAGAACACTTGTAACAGGGATCCTTACTGGACATGGCCAACTAAAATGACACCTTAGTAAACTGAGAGTAGTAGAAGATAGTGCAGATTTTGTGAGGAGGAGGAAAAAATCTTTATTCACATTCTAACTAAATGTGTAGCACTTCAGAATCTAAGGGCACTATACCTAGGAGCATATCAAATAGAAGAGGGAGATTTACCTAACTTGAAGCCACTCCAAATCCTATACTTCCTTGAGAAGATATAATTGGAAGGATCTTTATTCGCGATTCAAGTTAAGTGATACGCCCTCTGGAGGAAATTTGTAGAAGGTCCCTATAAGTAGGATATCGTTCAGTGTTGCCAGAAGTAGCAAAATTTCGCTACGTCGTCGGATTTTAGCTCTTGAAGAAGTGGATAAGACCTTTTATTTAAGAATCAAAATTTATGTATAGTAATATGTAATCATACTCTATATTTATTTAAGGACTTTTTTATAAAACCGATTTACTATATTATTTTTTTTTTAATTTCAGTTCATTTATTAATTTTGTTTTAAAATCAGTTCATCATTTGGCAACGTGTTCATTATTTACATTTTAATTTGTATCAATTACAATTCGAGTTTTTCTTACTTTTTAGCTTTAAATTTGTTTATTTCTTATAGTATGTGATAGTGTTTATGTTAAAAATGAAATCTGCGAAAAAGTCCCCAGCAAATTGCAATCTGTATGGTGTTAATGTCAAAATCAAAACTGAAGTATTCATTATTTTCCAAGTGCAAGTCGTAAAATTTAGTTTTTTACCATAAATGGATATCTACAAATTCACAATATTGAAATTTTGCAAAACTTTGTTTAGAATCGATATATGATATTTTATCCATTTTCATAGATTCGCCAGAATTTTTTTACTTAACTTCAGTAGGTATACCTCTAGAACTATTATATATTATATGACTAGGGCTAGGGCTTTAGCCCCCCCAGATCTGATGACATAACTTCGCCCATGCTGTCACTATCCAATTCCTTAGCAGACTTTATCTTATTCTTGGGGGTTGGTGCAGAACATCCAGAACTTTCCCCTATTTCAAAATCTTCTGGTTCTATGCGTTTACCCGGTGCTATGCTTATTTTCTTTCTTCTTTGAGTTCTAGGTCGCTTTTTGTTCCTAATACCCTGTAGAAATTGTACAATTGTATCTTTTAAACTGTTTTCGAAATTTTGATTTGTTTCAGTGTCATCAGTACCAGGCAACTGCTTAGCTGTCCTACCCATTGTATCCAAATGGCTTTTCGTAATAAGTCGTAAATCGCCGTGAGTCAAAGGAAAGCCCCACTGAGCGGTTTTCAAGAACATATTAACCAGTGTCTTTTCTTCGTCGTTTCTTAAAACAAAAGAAGATAAACAAAATATATACATGTTCCACATACATTTTTTTTATATATCCATTGCCAACGAAAATACTGAATAATTAAAATTTTACACTTTTCCTCAAATTTTTCCATTGCGGTCCATTTTAGATAATTCATGTATAAAACAAAAATTATTAATATTAGAAGTAACTTTTATTTGAAGAATTCTCTTCTCCAAACGTAAATAACAGTTATATTCCATAAAATATAAAAATGGCCCCTTATAAAGTACACCCCCAGATTTTCCGACTCTGTCCAAAATCTAATCAGTTCACCGTAGGCTGAAATAAAGCTTGAGTTTAAAATTTAGTTTTTCCTCTATATCCGTTAATGAGTTATCGAGTATATATACGCGTGCACGCACGCACGCGCTCGCACACACACACACACACACACACACACACACACACACACACGATAGACATCATCGCGAAAATAGTCAAAACGGATTCAGGGGACCCCAAAACGTAAAATTCCGTCAAAAACTCGAGGTCGAAAAAATTATGATTCCTACACTTTCCTTATCTGTATACAGATAGGAAAGTAAAAATGAAGAGTGATAGTTTTCTTATGTGCTCAATTATTAGATCTTGATTAAATTTATATCCCCTTTCTAACAAAAAATCATATAATTCGGATAACATGGTAAGGAATTATCGCTGAACATACATAAAAAATATTCCGACAAATTTAGAACCTCCTCCTTTTTTTGAAGTCGGTTAAAAAACCTTACAGAGTTCTAACGTTAAGAAATACAAACTTTAATCGCAACCAAAATCGCAAATGTATACTACCTACGCAATAAAATTAGCTTTCAAATAAGTGTCAAACTTTATAATACGTAACAATTCTTATCCTGCTGGAGGGCGATATATCAAAAGTAACGCAACAAACATGGATATTACTGAATTTCCCATAAAATACATTTTCAGTGATGTCATACTTTGTACTTTCCATATTTAAAGTATATTGGTTAGAGTTGGATTGGGTTACCTGATAGTTAATGATATGATAGAACGTAATAAAAAACGACGAGACTTTTTTTTTTTCAAAAAATATCTTCAAATGTATCTATACAGAATAGTGCTACTGTAATATCTACCAAAACACGTTGTTATTATTATTTTGCACTTACCTTGCCTGAATTTTATTTCTTTACCCTGATCTTACTCATTTCCATCTGCCAATGAGTTTTGTGATCCACCTACTTACTTTCTGTAATTGGTTATTAATTGTCTCAAATATAAATCTCCTACTCAATCTTAACAGCTAGGTTTTTATAAATATAAATCTACTAAAAATCTACAGTTCAGATGGATCGTGGCCGTAATTTTTTTTATCGCTACGGTTCCTGTCCGTCAACTTCAATAAAAGTACTTAGTCGCTATATTTGAAGTTATTTTTTAAGCATATCCTAAACCTATTCTCAAGGTCAGAAAATATGTAATCAACCATATTTTCCAAAAATTTGTAATGGAGAATTTAATTCCTATTCTGTTATTTTAGGCCAACTTTCTTGATTTGCATTGTTGTTTATTATATTAATTTTGAAATGTCTACAGTCAAATTGATGTAACTGATTCAAATCGTTGCATTACATTAGACATTTGTTAGCTATTATTATACTAAATGATGTCCAGCGAAGTTCGTTTAAAAATCTATTTATCAAAACATGTTTAATGTTTTTACCTAAATTTTAATTTTGTTTTAGGTGATAATTACATCTGTGACTGCAGCAAAAGACAACGTACCATCTCAAGCACATGCGTCCTCACCCTATCGATACCCTCAATATCCTAGTTACCAATATTCTTATCCTGCTCCGTATTCTTATCCACCCGCTCCTCTTCCACCCAACCCTCACCCTCCATATTCACACCATGATATGTGTTATTCAAATCCATATGGACATAAATGGACTTATAGGAGACACCTATCAGGTAGTCAGTATTATCCAGTACCAAATCCACAGGAAATGTATCCAGTACCTCATGCTGTACCTTCTCCACAAAGTCAGCAGGTTTGTTGTTTCCTTTAATAATTTTACTTACTTTTTAAATTAAGCGGTGCGATTTGAATTTTCCGTGCCTTAATTGGTTATTTGACAGACGTGAACTTGTCTTTCCAAATTATTAATCTAATGACATTATTTCTTTATCTATGATCGTGGTCAAAGTGCTCGAAATAGCAAGCGTTTTAAAGACCAGTTATCCACGAACACTTTACGCTTTTTTTGGTACACTTTGAAATCATAAATGCTGATATTATTACTACCAAAAAAAGGAAATAAGAACGATAAATGTAAAATGGTTGAATTCGCGATGTGACATGTGTATACCTTTCTTTGCCATCGAAATGAGAAAAACATTAAAAAATTAAATTACAATCTGTCACATACATAGTTCTCAGAAAGTCTATATACCGCTATGTGTATGCTGTCAATATAATAAAAGGGGGTCTTATGCTGACCGCCATGATAACTGGATTCATGTAATTGCTACACTAATTTTTAGTTTTTGTGTTTCGCAATAACAATAATACTCTCCTTAATTCACCCCCTTACGAGATAATTTCAACCCCTGAAGCCGACTGAGCTTGCGCGGGGAAGGGAAGGAACGATTATTATTATTATTATTTGCCGCGGCGCTCCGGGGCGACTTAAAGATGATTGATGGAACCATTTGACTTATAGGTGAGGAAACCCGGAGAACCACCTACCTTCATCGTAACGATAACGCATAGCGATTTGTAATCTGAATGCCATACCAACAGAAATTAAATTACTGCTAATACGGCACCCATCAATTGTTATAACGAACCATGTAAATTAGTTTAAAATTCACATGGTCTGCTGCAGAGTTGGGTAGTATCCATATACTTCTGTAACCGGATGCGTTATATGCATCCGAAAGCTGTATCCGGGTATTTTTCATATTTTGTATCCGGTATCCGTATCCGTGGCCAAATTTGTAAGTATCTGGATACGGATACTTTTTTCGGTATTCGGATACTTTTAAATTATTGTACAAATGTATCCCAAATCCTATATACCACACTTGTTTTTATATAGCCATTTCATAATTTCTATACCAGTCCATGTTATTATTATCAAAAACCTTGATAAAATAAAACTAATATTTTATTGATTAGTTAGAATTGAAATATTTTTGTATTTATCTCTTTAATAACTCTATATAATTGGAAATTAAATAAGTATTTTTATCAATATTACAATATTTGAGATGTAATTGCAATACTTAAATTAAAAATAGTAAAAGAGAATTAGTTTATTATGATCTGTAGTTTTGTTTTGGTACACTAAAATATTTTAAAAATTATTTTTATGCATTTTTTTAACAAATACATTGCTATAGCCTACATCGGAATTGCCGAATTCGATGATTCACCCAGTATAGAGACAGTTGAGATTCAACATCATGGGCAAGTTTTTATAGTTTAAGATCTGATGTAAGGGCGACCTTCACCCAACTGTTTAACGGATGAAAGTTTTTTTTTATTAAATAAAATATACCGCAAATAGGTTGCCTAAGAAAATTCGGTCAAACAATTAATTTTTTTAAGAGTATTTACTTGGCTTTAGAGCAGAGCATGCAAGGGTTTCGTGTAGTACCCCACTTTTAAAGTTTATTTTTGACTTATTCTGAAAGAAAAAATTATGTGCGCGTAGTTAAAGGTTAAATCTATGATCCTCTGGAGACACTTTTTCGAAAAAAAAAAAAAAAATACAAAACTTTTTTTTACCCATTTTCTCAATTTTTTTTTTTTTTTTTGAAAAACTAAATTAAATTTTGAAAAAATGATTCCAGATAGATTTAACCTTTACCTACACGTACATATTTTTTTCTTTTGAAAATAGTCAAAAATAAACTTTAAAAGTGGGTTACTACGAAACCCTTACATTGCAAGATTTTTCGTCTGGAAAGTGGCGCCTCTGTTAGATTTTTGAGAAATTAATATTTGTGATTGAAAACAATTTATAATATATTTTACTGATGTTTTACAAGGGATAAATAAATTTTACGTGTTTGTACATCTTATTGTTTTACGTAAATCAGTTCGGTAATACTAAGATCGATATATACAGTGAGCATCATAAGTCTTACCCCCCTATCTAACTCGTTACTGGAGTCTTATTAGGAAAATCGCCGAGACACGTCGATTTTTGATTTCTACAATGTACACTTTTCCCTTACTGGAGGGGAGCAACCCTTTCGAAAAATTTAAATGGCAAGGGGTGGTGAGTGATAGCTCATTTGAAAGGGGGTTTTATTCTCTATTCAAACGTGCAAAAAATTTTGAAATTTGCTGTTCCAGTTTATTTATTGCGCAACTCGGATTTGTATCCCTGGCGCATACAAATCAAATCATAATAGCCCAAGAACCCACAGCAAATTTTTACCGTCATCTCATAACAAAATGAAACTTACCCCAAAAGCATGTAAAAACATTGAACTTTACCAAATAGCACCTGTGCTAATCCCAATCCTGAGCCAAACGGTTAAAAAAATAATTTTATATTAAAAAAAGTTACATAAGGCATGACAGCGCTGATTTTGTTTGGCCTTAAAGTTTTCTAGAAAATAACATGTTCAAACATATCTTGATATATATCGTTAAAGGGAAACATTTTCTTCCTCTTAACATCGCACAAAAACATCTATCCACGATTAGTAGGTAAAAATCATTAAAAATATTAATCAATTTTTGCTGATTTAAAAATGTATTAGTAAGCCTATTGTTGTAATTAATTTTTTACAGGTTGCCATAGAAACGACAAACCTTTCACACATGACACACATACACATGGTTTAAAAGGTAGGTAAAATATTAATAATTCAGGTTTAAAAGCTAGGTTCACAGTAAATTAGGATTGCAATTTTCAGGGAAATTGTCGCTGTCATGTCTTGTGTGATTTTTTAAATATAAAATAATTTTTTTAACCACTTTGCTCAGAATAGGAATTGGCACAGGTGGAATTTGATAAAGTACAATGTTGTTAAATGCCTTTGGAGCATATTTCATTTCGTTATTAGATGACGGTCGAAATTTGCAGTATGCTCTCTTACTATAACCAGTACAATATGACAACTGCCTATATTCAAACAGCAGTCTTGTGCACATCCTGAATTTGTATCCTTGGAGTGGATATTATTTTGGAACATTCAATTGGTCCGAGTGAGCTAACTGATTCTTTAGCTATAAACTGTGGTACAGGTAAAGGCTCAAACCCGTACTCATCTGGAGTCACGTTTTAAAAATTTGAATCGAATTATTTTGAAAAAATTCTAAAAAGATGTCTTTCTAACGAAAAGAAATAAAGTAACAATGCTATACTCTATTCAACTTAAACGCAAGTAATGCGTAAACACAATAGCCGCTTGACCAAAGCATGATACGCACAAGCCCGACTGGTATTGGCCAGCCCAGTGATCAGATTTTGAACGTTTCCCTACCCACTAGTTCAATGTGCCTATGTTCCCTCTGAAAAAGACCATTTCTATCTTCTTGGGAGTAATAGACAGTGAATGGTTCTTACACCACTGTTCTATAATTTTGAGAGCTATTTTCATTATTTCGCAGAGTATGTTTTCAAAATTACCTGTTTGCAGAATGACCAGGTCATCTGTATACGCTATTGTGTAGTAACTGTCACTATTGAGGCAGCTCATGAGGGTGTCGAGGACCATTTTCCACAGTAGAGGTGATAGCACTCCTCCCTGTGGACATCTCCTCGCAACCTCTTATATTCACGTCTTCTACACTTATGTTTACTGCTCGCTTTGTGAGCATGTTGTGTATACACCCACTAACCATCTGTGGATCATTCATGTTGCTTAGTAAGTGTATTATCTTGGGAAAGGTCGTCTTATCAAAAGCACATTCTATGTCTATAAAAACACCCAAGGCGGACACTTTAATGTCCAGTGATCTCTCTATCCGACCAGCAAGGATGAAGGGTTGAATCAGTAGATCTGCGCAACTAGGCGAAGGGTTGAATCGGTAGATCTGCCTAGTGTGTATGTATGTTGATTTGGTTTTATTGTTCACCACATCCCTTATGTACCAGTCTCGGATGAAACTAAGACAGAAGCCGAAATTCGGTTTATGTTTCGGTCGGACACTAAAAATTATAGTGTAAAATGTAAAAAATGCGGTTTTTGCGACACTGTGCTTCTTATATGTAAAACGAATGAGGCCGCAAACAAAATGTTTATGGCCCGTTTGATTTTGATTTTTTTTTACTTTCAATGCACTCTCTGGAAAATAATTGTATATTTAATAATCGATTAATCAAAAATAATCGGTTATTTTAAATAATCATTAACCGATTATTTATTTTATAATAGATAGGTAATAGCTGATTACTACTTAAATATAATTTCTTTGGCACAATTCCCCATAAAACAATAAAAAAATGTCGATCTAAAACCAGTAAACCCGAAATGTAAACAATAATATCATTTAGTCAGTGTTTGGTTCTCTCTACCATCATACTTGCGCGAGCTGTGATCTATACTGAAGAAGCGAAAAACTGATAGTTATTTTATACAAAAAAGTATTAGGTTTTAGCTCGAGACAAAAAAACCGAGAGCTAAAATCTAATATTTTTCCCGTGTATAATACATTATTTTTTCTGTGACGGGAAAAACGACGATTTAATATTGAAAAAATATACTAAAATATCTATCTTTACTTATGTGTACTCACTTTTTCCCGAGAAAACACTTTTTTCCCGGGAAACGGAAAAAAGTAATTTAATAAAAAGTGACATTTTGTTACCTGACAAGAGATATAAAATGTCGAACTTTTTTCCAGTCACACAAAAAAAGAATTTTCAATTCATGGAAAAATTAATATGCTCAATGTAGTATTCATCTTTATTCGTTGGTTGTATAAAATTTGACTTCAATGCATTCTTAAAAAACTTTTAAAATGTTTTGCTTCAAATGATACAAAAGTCAAGATTCAACGCTAAAATGATATCTAGTAACTTTTCCCTGTATAAATGCGACTTTTCAAGTCACTTCTCTTGGTTTTTCAAAAATTCTATTTTTTTTTTGTCGATTTACTAACTAGAGATCCAACTAACTAGATACATCCTTTTAGATGGTGACCACAACTCCAGTGTCGGCGAGTGGAACATTCTCTTCTCCTATAGTTGGCCCACCACCCCCTCCTCCGACGATAATGGAGACGTATGCTGGACCTCTCGAAAGTTATCAACCACCGCAGCCATCCCATTTTTATCCTTCGCCTGTTTATCCCCCTCCAGGACCCTGTTATTCGCACCAACCAACTAGAACAATTCCCTACCTTAGTAAGTATATGCATATTGTATTGTTTTATTCAAAAAAGCATATTTATCTTAAACCTTATATACAGGGTGTAGATAATTTAAATATACACTATTGTGATTTCGTAAACCATTGGAGATACAAAGGGGTCTATTTTGTAAAGTTTTATTAAAATTAACCCTAGGTCCGATTACTGGTTTTTCTGCTTAAATATCTAGTCTTAAATCCTGGCCTCCTGAAGCTACAGTCTACTTTAAGATGGACTAAGTTCCTTCGTTTGGGATTGTGATGCGACTAGGGCTCTTCAGTGATAGTGTACCTCGGAAATTCGAATAGTGAGACAAGAGAAAATATCTTTTGGGGCCCCAGGATCAAAAATCTGAGGTCCGAATAAACGATCAACGGACAGAAAATAATATATTTGACGTACTATTTTCGTCAATACATAATGAGGGTAAAAATAGTTTAAAAATTTTTAATAACTAATTGATAATTTACTGACTATAATTAAAATGAATCGTCATCAATAACTATTTAAATCAGTTATAATAATTAAATAAAAATCGCCAACAAAATGTTCAAAATAAAACAAATGTATTGTGATATTTAATGAAAAAAATCTTTAAATGAAAGCCATCAACAAAATGTTCAGAATAAATCAAATTTATTGCAATATTTTATGAACGAAATCTTTTTTATCTTAACTTTATTTTCCCATAAAAAACCTAATTAATTCTTATCGAATTATCTTTTGCTACCTCAAGCACACAAAAAAGAATTTCAACATTCAAAAAATTACAAATGACTACTTCATTTCAGAAAATATTATTTCTGGTTATTTCTTTTGCTGCTATGAGAATCCCCGTTAGCTCTGTTTGAACTACACTGGCACTATTGCTCACAGCCCATTTTATGTTTAGGTTTAAGAATCTGCAGTATATTCCACATCCTGAGCCTTGTTTTGTTTTAGAACCGTCGGTGTAGATATGAATCGTACCTGCCACTTCCGGCTCTTCTATTTGTTCTATTATAACTTTATATGGCTTATGGAAGATGTATCTCGTTGAGATGGAGTCCATGTTCGTTTAAAGCAGTGGAAGCGTATCAAGCGCCTCCTGCCAAAAGTGACGTCTCACCTCACCAGATCCTACATCAGGTTATATTCCAACCGTGTGGATGCGTGTCATTGTCGTCAGAGCAACCTCCTTCTTGATGTAAATATCAAGGGGAGTGAGACTAAGAATGACTTCCATCGCTCTTGTCGGTGTTGTTTTCATGGCTCCTGTTATGTTGAGACATGCTGTTCTTTGAATTTGTACTAGTTTACGGATAGCTGTTAATTTTTGGATTTTCGGTACCCAGACAACTGCACCGTATGTTAGCATAGGTCTTATGATAGCCGTATAAGTCCATGCGACGACTCTGGGGGAGAAACCCCAGGTGCGCCCCACGGTTCGGCGACATTGTTCATAAGCAATGTATGCTCTTTTGACTGTTTTCTAAATGCGAGTTCCATGTTAACTTGCTGTCAAAGATGAGACCTAGGTACTTTTACCTCTGTTGCAAAGTTTAGTTTTGTGTTTAGGAGTTCTGGAGGTTTTAATTCCATTTTCATCCTTTTTCTTGTGAATGGACCACTTCTGTCTCTTAGGATTGATAGACAGTGAATGGTCCTTGCACCACTGTTCTATAATTTTTAGAGCTACTTGCATTCTTTCGCAGAGTATGTTCTCAAAATTCCCTGTTTGCAGATTGACCAGGTCATCTGCATATGCTATTGTGAAGTGTATGTCATTATTGAGGCGGCTGATGAGGGTGTCGAGGACCATATTTCACAGTAGAGGTGATAGCACCCCTCCCTGTGGACATCCCCTCGCAACCAAGCCTCTTATATTCACATCTTCTACACTTATGTTTACTGCTCGCTTTGAGAGCATGTTATGTATCCACCCACTAACCGTTTGTGGAACATTCCTGTTGGTTAGTGTATTTTAAAGAAGATGGTTTTATCAAAAGCACCTTCTTTGTCTATGAAAACACCCAAGGCGGACACCTTATTGTCCAGGGATCTTTTTATCCGGCCAGCAACTAGATGAAGGGCTGAATCAGTAGATCTGCCTGGGGTGTATGCGTGTTGGTTTGGGTGTAGTGGTGTTGTTGTAATCACCGCATCCCTTATGTACCTTTCGCATAGCCTTTCCAATGTCTTCATGGAAAACGATGTCAGAGTAATTGGTCGGTATGTTTTTGTGACAGTGTAATTCATCCTTTCAGGTTTGGTTCAAAAGAGTAAAGATTAGTTATTTTAAAAAATTTGAAATAGTATCTATCCAGTTCGTTCCTAACTTGCATAATGTCTGAAAAACTTCCTCTGTACAATACCCAGCTAATATTGCTGACAACTGACAACAGTTCGGGAGGGAAGATTTAATTAACATGTTAGAAGGACCAGAAAGTAATAGAAGAGTTAATTGGATATTAAAAGGAACGTTTTGATGTTTTTAAGCGAATCACTTTTTACAAAAATGCTTCTCATAAAATTACATTTTTGACACAAACATTAACAAAACTACTTAATGGATTTCTCTGTTGATTGAATTTGTAATAGCATTGCAAATGTATAGTGTCTACACCCTACATCTTGTATTTGCAATTCATTTTTCATTAAGACTATTTTATTTTTCCAGGTACATATCAAAGTAATTGCCCTTGTCCAATGCAGTCGTGTCCAAAAAACGTACTTACTGGACCTCTTACTGGTGATAGTAAGAGGTCTAACATGACTTCCATTTCTAACGACTCGATGCCTTTACCTTCAATAGCCTTAGTTTTACCATCTGAACCAGCGAGCGCAACTGGTCCTCCAAGTCCTGCGAGAGGGTCTGCAGGAATGCCTCCACCCCCATCGCCGGCTGGGGCTACTTACCAACCTCCACCAGTGGCCACAAAACAAGAATCTCATTCGCCAATTAGTGAAGAAGACTTTAAATTAGATAAAAAGAAAAAAGCGAGAATTGGAAAAGCAATGGTTAGGAGAAACATAGCAGCTAATATGCAGCAAAATACAATGTTACTTATGTGTAACCCTGTACAAGATTATGTGAAAAGAGAAATTGAGAGTCCACAAAATATAGAATTAGAACAAAAACGAAACACATCGTCTGATAAAGATAACCTCATTACTCAAGATCTACAAAATTCTAGTAAAGAAATAACAAATTTAGAGATGTGCACTACGCTGGAATTAAGAGACAAAAATAATGTGGAAAGTTCTAAGAAAATACTTGAAAATTGTAAGCCGCTTAAAGAAGAAATCGAAGATCCCTTACCACCCGTGATCAACACTGTTGCAGAAAATGTGAAAGTTAAAAACATGAAACGGAAACTTTCTATGTGTTCGGAGAAAATATCGGATTCAGAAAGTCCACCTCAAAAAAAGAGAAAAAAAGCTGGTTCCTATAAGTATTTGATAAAAAAAGAAACAAATGCTATTAAAATTAATAATGGTAAATTAAAACTATTAGGCGAAATGCCTTCTGCATTAAATTCAGTCAGAACAAAAACAAAACTAAGAAGACCAACAACTAAGAACAAACTTTCTTTTAACAAGGAATCGGCAATTATCCGTCGAAAATTATATAAACAATTACCATTAAATACTCTAAATTGTCGTTCAAAAGCACATAGATTAACTCATGAATCCAAGATTAAAAATTCTGGTTTAGTCAAAAAAGGCAGTTTAAGACAAAGTACTAAATCGGCACCGGCGGTGTTGGATAAACTCTTTGCCAAAAATAACGTGGAACGAATTATCGAAAGTGTGATAGGTGATACATTAAGGACATCCCACGAATCTAAAACTGAGAAGTGCATAAAACAATCCAAATACAGCCCAGTGAAAACAAATGTAAATAAAATTAGTGTACCTAAAAAAATGAAAAACGTAACCAAAAAATTAAGTTCAACGAGACGAACATTTAAACATAATGAAGCATCAACACCTCAAATTCCAAAAGCTATTAAAAGATCTTTATCATATCCCAGATGGTCGAACGGTTGGATTTGGGAAGGAGAGCCTTTCGAAGCGAAAGTATTTTTAAATGTAAGCCAATACATATTTTAATAACAAGTGATAAAGATACCCATCGAGAATAGTTAATGCATTTAGGAATCTAAAAATTAAAACCCAATTTACCCCTACCAAATCGATGAATCCATCTTCACAACTGCAACAAAAGAAAAATTGAAAAAGCCGAAAAGAAAAAATGAGGCTGTGAGGATGGATTCCTCAATTTTGTAGGGCTGGAACTGGGGTTTTTCATTTTCACATTTCCAAATGCATCGTTTAGTTTTCGGATCTTTTACCAATATTTTCTCTGTCCTTTCTTCATACACTTACATTGATGGCTATTCATACATGAAAACTTAACACTGATATGTTAAAATTTTACTTTACTTTTAATTGAAAATATCGATTGCACAAACTCATTTACTAAATGCTTCCAATTCTTTTTCAGAAATCTTCGTGTTTCACGGCTAAAAAAAGTACACTCCTTTAATTTGATAATGTGAAAAAAGTTGGGTTTAGTGCTGAAATTTTACAAATCTTGTATATAACTTATCTACTGTAAATTCACCTATTGCTCTTTTTTAACTCTAGAAGTTATTCTAATAATTTTAAGTTTTCAAAAGAAAGTGCACAGAAAATCTGTACCACCAAAATGTGTGTTATTATTGTTTTTACTGCTCGTTGGTTTTTCTATTTTTAAAATATTTTTTAGAAAACTTGAAAAGCAGGAAAAAATTATATTTGGGCAGAATATCAAATAATTGACACAACACTGCATAAATATATTATTTTTTTTTCGATTGACATTAAATGTCACTTTCAGTGTCATTTCGCGATAATAGAAGTAATACTTTTACTGCCTAGGCATTAAAAATCATTTTTACTGCTAGCCATTAATAACTTACTTTTTCTTCTCTTCTCTCTTGAAGTCTTGCTCTGCATGAGCATCCGGCCAAAAAGTTACTCTAAATTAACTACAAAGTAACTAAAAGTATATTTGCATAAGAATTGAAGGTATATAGTTATAAAAACAACAATTAGAACAAATATTAAAAATTCGTGAGTTATATCAGTTATACTTAGAAGAGGTTTTCATTATAGTTCCATTTTTTAAACACACTATATAAACAATCTAAGAAAAAATATATGTTTCACACAGCAGAGAAACAGATTTACTGCCTTGGTTAGTTTTATTACCCCGGCAATGTAATGCTAGCCAAGGCGGTTACTTCTCTGCCTAGTTAAATAAATAACTATTTTCTAATTTTGTCATATAAAGTGAAATTTTTTTGTAATCGGAGCAAGTATCAAAATGATTTTTACGTAACCAGTTGCATAATGTTGAACTATTAAACTGACTACAAAAAATTAATTATGTCACCAATTGCGAAAAGAAAACAAAAATAAATCCTTTTTGTTTTAAAATCAATATACAGTGTGGAACAGCCAAATGGAATAAATTGGGTAATAAATAAATGGGGGAGTATTCGGAAAAACGCTCGGACACATTGATTGGTATTTTTAGTTGCAGTTATTCTTTATGCAGGGTGTGTCATGTAACAGTGGCCAATACCATCTTGCCTATTTTAAATGCAACAACCTGTATATTTTTGAATTTTTGGATTCTTCAAAAAATTCTAGACATTTTTATGTACAATGTTCTATACATAACTGTTTCGGTAATATTAAATGTTTTCCGATTTATTGCAAAAATTAATTGTTTGATTACAGGAATTCGATACAATACGCTCAATACTTATTTCCCATTAGGTCTTGATAATGAGAAAGTAATTAAAAACCATTTCTGTGGTCCTTTTTACTGATATGAAATAAAAAAAAAACTATACTTAAATAGTTTTGTTTACTTTTGTTTAAAACGCCTGACCTTAGCCAATTGTTATTTGACTGCATGACAGTAGTTGTCAGTGTTATAGTTGTTTGAATTTCCTTAACTGCATATCAGAAAAATGGTTCATTTAACAGAAATACACAAAATAACAATTATACAGATGATTGATTGGTTATGAAGATAACACATGGAAAAATTTTCAAATTGGCTGCGTATATCCTAAGGGGCAATTAGTAAAATAGAGAAACAGCATCGCGAGCTTGGACATGTAAGGCTGATAAAAAAAAACAGTTGCCAATGCAATAACTAACCAAATTGGATATTATGCTTGAGTTCCAGGAAAACCCACTTACTTCTAATCGACAAGCATCCCCAATGTTCGATATTAGCCATTCATCGATTATTCGAAAATTAAAAGAAAATAAAAGGCATCCCTATAAAATAATAGCAACTCAGGTGCGCATTGAAGACGATTTTGATAGGAGAACGCAATTTTGTGAACAAATGATGGCAATGTTAGGATAATATGGTGATCCAATTAGAACATGTTTTGTTTTCTGATGAGTGTACCTTTACACTTCACAGTCATACTAATCGTCAAAATGGCCGCTATTGGTCTAGGGAACATCCTCACTGGATGAGAGAAGAACATACACATTACCCTGAAAAGGTTAATGTTTGGGCAGGAATTGTTGGCGATCATATCATAGGTCCCTTTTTCATTGATGGCAATTTGAATGACGGTAATTATTTAGCACTGCTCCAAAATAATGTCACGTCAACTTTAACGAACCTATATCCCGATCCAGCAAACCCACAAGTTGCATCGAATATGATACGGTTTCAGCAAGATGGAGCACCGCCCTGTTACCAAATCAATGTCCGGCAGTATCTCAATTGAGTATTTCCAAATCGGTGGATAGGGAGGCGAGGATCGATGCAATGGCCAGCAAGATCCCCTGATCTAACATCATTAGACTTTTTCTTATGGGGATATATCAAAAGTATTGTATACAAAACAAAACCTCTTGACCTAGCTGACTTAAGAAGACGAATAAGGCTTGCTATTAGATCGGTCACACCTGAGATGTTGAGTAATGTTAGAAGATATTTTAAGGGGTGGCTGCAATAATCAGGCAGTTCCATTTTACAAATTTGTGGGAAATCGAAAAAACCTAAAAAATTTAAATTTTGTTTTTATGAGATTAACTTTTTTCTGCGGTAAAAGCATGTAAAAATAAAAGTTTTTACGTAGTTCTTGTAAATATTATCAATACCATGTTTAAATAAATAAACATAAAAAAATGGAGCTGCCTGTTTTTTGTATACAAAAAAATAGATTGCGTTTATTTATATGTTATTTGGATACAAAAAGTAAATAAAATGTCCTTATTATATCATTAAAAAAAACAAATGGAATATGAAAATCCAAAAACCAGGTAATATTCTTCTTATGTTATTGATCTTCATCTTCTGTTTCAGATGTCTGGCATTCTTATGTCTCTGTATGTACAAGTTGTTGGTTTCAGCATCGCCAACATACTGTCTGGCCAATTCCATAACATTTAAGAGCTTATCCTTTTTTAAAGGCAATGGGGCATTATTATAAACCTTATTTTGTACTTCTAGAATATTCGGTACACAAGATTTATTTAGAAGAACAAAATCTTCAGTGACTAAACCATTCGCTGACTCTAAGCACGTAACAGTTTCCTTATGTTCATCACTATATTCGACAACTTTATATTTCGATGTGGTGAATTTTGCAAAAGAACTATTCTTAATATTGCTGTTCTTAAAAAATGGCACAAGAACTTCTTTATAGTTTAAAATAACAGTTTTAACAATAAACTTCTGATGTTTTTAATCATGCGACTCCATTCCTCTGGTAGATAAACTCTTTATTTTTTCTTTTTCGACTAGAGCAAACGACCTGTCGCAGGGCAAAAAACTATGCCCAGGTTCTGGGTAACGATATCTTATTTTCTTAATCTTCCTTGTAATAGAAGAGATTGTCAAAACTGAACAAGAACGGAGTTCTTGTTCTGCGCGGCACAGTTGTCACTATAAATTTAAAGGGTTGTTACCTCAGGATAAATGTAGTTAATAAAATCTTGTAAGCAAATTATCACTTCATTTGGAGATTTCCGACCCGTTATTTCATCAAAAACATAAAAGTAACTATTCGAAACGCTGCCCTTATTGATGCAAAATGGATAAAACGACAACTGGCGCTTGTAGAAAACGTCACCAAAAGGAACATGTGGCAGGGGCATGCTTTGTTCAAAATCAAGTGACATGACTTCAACTTCTTCAACTGTGGGATCTTCTTTAGCCATAGCAGTCTTTTCTTTTAAATCTTTATAGAACGTATCAGAGCTTTGGTCAGGTGCACTTTTTTTTCCAAATTCAGTGTGTTTAGAGTTTCATCATCTTTGGCACATTTTATTTTGTTTTCAAGGATGTCGCAAGTATCTGTTATAGGGTAGCCAAAGCTTAAATTAAAATACTCCACAAATACACGTCGATAATATGTGTATAAAACTTTTGGCTTAAACCCTGGTGTATCTAGTAGATTATGTTGATCTGGCTCATACTTTTTTAAATACAATCTGTGCATGAGCCTTAAATTCGGTTAGGATAAAAGATATCTTCTGTTTATATTATCATTTCTGCTATAATGGCTTTTTCTTCTTGGAAAGCTATTAATATGGTCCTCAATGCACTTGACAATATGATCTGGTATTTTATTTGGTCTAGTTTCATGGCGCCCTCGCATATCTTTTGGTCCCACTGTATTTGAAGCCATTTGAGTCGCTATTCTCTCCACTCTGCTTTTCGTTATTGTGTGAATGTTCATGAATGCCGTTTTATACTCTTTTTTTTATTTTATACAAAAAGATATCGATATTTTTTATATTCCATGCATATTCTCATATTTCTATATTTTACATTAAAGTTTGCCAACTGTTACATGGAGACACCTGATTGTTGCAGGGAACGATTGGCCTATTTTTTTAAAGGGTAATTCAGTAAAAATCTTATTTTCGTAAAAAAGTGGAGCTGCCTGGTTATTGCAGCTACCCCTTCATTTTTATTTCAGATTAGGATGTTGCTAAGAGGTTCGCGGCTAGCATTTTGAACATCTCCTACATTGAGATGTTTTTTTTTTGTTACATTAGTTTTTGAGTGTATTGGAATGAATTTCTTGTAATCAAATTATTTTATTAATGTTAATTTTTGCAATAAATCGGAAAACATTCACTATTTCCGAAACAGTTATGTATAGGACATAGTGCATAAAATATGTCTAGAATTTTCTGAAGATTCCAAAAAATTGAAAAATATACAGGGTGCTGCATTTAAAATAAGAAAGTTGGTATTGGCCACTGTTACATGACACACCCTGTATAAAAAGTTTTTCTTAAAAAAATGCGCAACTAAAAATACCAAGCGACGTGTCCGAGTGTTTTCCCGAACACTCCCCCATTTATTTATTAGTGAATTTATTCCATTTGGCTGTTCCACACTATACATTATTATTGAAGGTTTATATCAGAAAAGGGCAGGTTGATATAAAAGTAGAATTTGGTTAAACTTGCAATATAGTAATAATGTTGTTTTGGTTCTTATTTTAAATTCTAAATCAGCACAAAATATTTTAAACAATAATGACAAAATAACCTACTTTCTTGAAAACCAAATAACTCGAATAAGCAATATAAACACACAACAAATCGTTGAGAATAAATTAATATGCAACTAACAATACAAGAAAGTAATATTAGTTGACTAGATGTCAGTAATTTTTACCAAAACACAATTTTATAAATAATCTAGTCAAAATTAGAAAAAATATTGTATGTAACAAAATGCCTTTAAAATGCCATAAAAATAGGGCATTTCGTAACTGGTTGCATAAATAGATATTTTTCATATTAAATATACAAGGTGAGTCAAAAAAGAATACAAATATTTTAGCAGGTGATAGAACCATGAAAATTAAAAGTTAGTTTGCTATATGTCCGAAACTTAGAAATAAGGGAGATAACAATTCAAACGGGAATGGAAAAAAACAGTTTTTCGGTTCTAACTTCCAACCCGAGCAAACCTATCAACTCCAAATTTCTTGGAGAACTTAAAAGTTTTATATCATTTGATTTAATGGTAAAAGGAAATTTTTTTAAAGTTGTAGTTTGGTTAGGTTGGGTATTCTTATCCCTATTTTTTAAATTTTATCTTTTCACAAAAATTGTGTAAGAAAAATAGATTTCCATAATTTTGCCTACAAAAGAAGTATTCGTGTTTAAAGTGTTTAAACGCGATTGAGTGAACCATTCTTGATTAATTTGACTTTTAAAATGTAACTGCACAATAGAAGAATGTAGTCTTTCATGTAATTATTTGTTTCCGGGCTGTTATGCCATGGTATTTCTTGGTTATTACTACAAAACGTTTCAGTAACTGCGGTAGCCATCTTCAGTGGATTGGACGCAGTACTCCTTTCGACATATCAATTAAAACTGAATCCTCCTTTGTTTTTTTTTTTAAGTTTAATATTGACTTTTGATTACAATAAGTTACCTAGCTTAGCTATTTTCCTAAGTTGCCGTGTGCACGTGTGTGGCAGGATGTGTTCCCCGAAAATATCGCCAATTTTGCTATTTCCAACCAAGTATAAAGTGGGGAATATGATTTAGGGAAACCACGAAAACCTAAATCACGTTACTGTACAAATATGAATTCTAGTTATAAGATTGGGAAGGGTTTTATCTGATGCTTAGGGGGACTGATTTCAGCACATCCTGGAGTTCAGGGGCGAAGGGGAGATCTTGGGAGTCTGAAAGTAGTCTTAGATTTGAATGTGGCATTTTTCTTTTCGATTTTCGAGCTTGGTATTTATATGCGTGTCTGTGCGCGCATTTTGCATTTGACTGGTATTAGACGGTTTTGGCGCTTTTTAATGATATGTGCCTGCTATTTACAGTAAAAATTTCAAATTCCCGATTATACTGCTTCATATGAATAAAAAACTAAAGGAAAAAAGAGGAATTTTTGGAAAAATTATAATAAATTATTACTTCAAAAATCAGTTTTGAGACCCTTTTTGGAGCTATTACAATAAATAAGGCCATTGTCCTAATATTTACAGTAAATATTTCAACTTCCAAAATATATGGCGTCATAAGAAAAAAAAAATAAGAATAAACTGAGAAATTCTTGGAAAAATTATAATAAATCATAACTTTAAAATTCTGCTTTGAGACAGGATCGAAACTAGTACAATAAATAAATCGATTGTCGTACTATTTACAGTAAAAGTTTCAATTCGCCAAATATATTTCGTCATACGAACAAACAAAAAATAGGAAAAAAAAAGGAATTCTTAGAAAAATTATAATAAATCATAACTTCAAAAATCAGCGTTGAGACACGATCGAAACTAGTACAATAAATAAGGCCTACTATTTACACTAAAAATTTCAACTTCCCAAACATATAGCGTCTTACGAAAATAAAAAAAATAAAGAAAAAACAGGAATTCTTGAAAAAATTATAATAAATCATAACTTCAAAAATCTTGTGCAATAAATGAAACCATTGTCCTATTTATTATTTAAAGTAAAAATTTCAACTTCCCAAATACATGGCGTCATACAAAAAAAAAGAATTTTTGGAAAAATTTTAATACATTATAATGTCATGAGAACGCCTAAGCCGACTCGGTCTAGAGTGCGACCTTGAAGTCTGCTACCCTACTCATGGTCGAAACCGTAATCTTCTAGGTATGCCGCTGATGCATAAGGCAAGCACTTCGCGAACGCTTCCAGATTATTCTGGCAGGATTGGTTCTTTCTGGGCCATTACATTTTTATATAAATAGCGCGAGTTTGTCGACGGACAAGAAGATGCAATTTAAATGTTTGACAGAAAAGATAAATTGTAATAAATAAATTAGAAATGTGAGTTAGTGCCTAAGTATTATATAAATGAATTAGTAGGTTATAAATTAATTGTAAATAAAGTGTTTTAAATAAATAAACTATAAATAAATTAAACAAACGTTACAATAACTTCAAAAGTCAGTTTTGAGACACGATCAGAACTAGTACAATCAATAAATCCCTTGTCCTATTATTTACAGTAAACATTTCAACTTCCCAAATATATGGCATCATACGACAAAAAAAAAATGAAAAAACAGGAATTTTTGTAAAAATTTTAATAAATAACTTCAAAAATCAGTTTTGAGACAGGATCACGACTAGTACAATAAATAAAGCTGTTGTCCTACTATTTACAGTAAAAATTTCGACTCCCCAAATGTGTGGCGTCATACGAACAAAAAAAGAATATAGAAAAAAAAAGAAATTCTTGGAAAAATAACTTCAAAAATCAGCTGTGTCTCAAAACTTTTATTTATTGTACTAGTTCCGATCTTATCTCAAAGCTGTTTTTAGAAGTTATGATTTATTATAATTTTTCCATGAATTCCTCTTTTTTTATTTTGTTTTTCATATGACGCTATATATTTGGGAAGTTGAAATTTGTTCTGTACATATTAGGACAATGATCTTAATTATTGTAATAGTTCCGATCCTGTTTCAAAACCGATTTTTGAAGTTATAATTTATTATAGTTTTTCCAAAAATTCCTTTTTTTTTTCTTTTTTTTTATTCTTATGACGCCGTGTATTTGGAAATTTGATATTTTTACTGTAAATAGTGGGACAATAGCTTTATTTATTGTATTTGTCCCGATCGTGTCTCAAAGCTGATTTTTGAAGTTATTTTTCCAAGAATTCCTCTTGTTTTCTTTATTTTTTTTTATGACGCCATATATTTGGGAAGTTTAATTTTTTTCTGTAAATAATAGGACAATGGCCTTACTAATTGTACTAGTTCCGATCGTGTATTAAAACTGATTTTTAAAGTTATGATTAATTATAATGTTGTTGTTTTCTTCCTTTGCTTTGAAGTGCAATCTAGTCGAGTAATAGTGTTATCTCTTGATTTTGCTAGTACCTACAGAAGAAATCATTGCCAATATAGAAGCCGGAATTGGGAAACTACCACCTGATGTCAAAGAAGAGGTATGCAGTGAATCTGGAAGAATTCTACAAAAAGCCAAACCACCAAAAAGTAATATTTGAAAAGGGAGAAGACAGCTATAAGAAGTCTCAATGAGGATGAAAACATAATTCTACCCGTTGACAAAGGAAATGCAATAGTCGTCATGAACACATCGGATTACAGTAGCAATCTGAGGGATCTGAGAAAATCTTCACTACTGAAGCTCTACCACCAAGACTATATGGAGTACCAAAAATTGACAAAGATAATGTACCACTAAGACCAATATCAAGTGCTATAGGATCACTAACTTACAACCTGGACAAACACCTTGCAGAAATATGCAAGACAAAACCCTACGTTCGAGACTCTACTCACTTCATCAAATACTAAAAGAGTATCACCTTAGACATCCTAGTCAGCTTTGACATCATCTCTTTATTCCCAAATATGCCACTCAAAGAAGTAGTCAACTAGATAGGGCAGTTTTTTCTAGAGCTCATCGACCTTTTCCGACACTCACTCACAACATCATATTTTCAGTGGGTTCAAACATTCTAGGAACAAATTGACGGAGTCGCCATGTGGGCAGCCCAGTTGTAGAAAATTTCAACATGGAAAAATTTAAAAAGGGCTATCGGCACTGCTGAAAAACAACCCAAGCATTGGGTGAGGTATGCAGATGACACATTTGTTATCAACATCTTGTAAACAGAGCATTAAGGATATGTGAACCAAGACACATAAACGATGAAATGAAACACCTGACAACAGTGTTAAAAGCAAACGGATACACTAAAAAAACGACATAATCCATGCTATGCGCCCAAGGGATAATAAGACCAAGCCTAGTGAAGAACAAAATCAAGTAACTGTCTATCTACCGTACGTAGAAGGTGTTACTGATCAAACTGGGAAAATACTAAAAAAAAAGGAAAATCAGCACTGTCTAAATGCCAACAAAGAAAATAAAGGAATATCTCAAAACAGAAAAACCGTAGGAAACACCATCACATCAGCAGGAGTCTACATAATTCCATGCACTTGTAGAAAAGTATATGTAGGACAAATGAAGAGAAGCATTGGTACACGAATAACAGAAAACAAACCAAGTTGTCGTTTAGGACAAACTGAAAAGTCTCCAGTCGCCGAACACACATTATCCGACAGAACACAAGATTTTTTTCGAAAACACCAACCTACTAGCAACATCAAGACATTACTCACCCAGATTACACTTGGAGGCTATAGAAATACACAAACATCAAAAGAACTTCAATAAAAAGAAAGAAAAACAACATTACCTAGGATCTTGCACACAGCATTAAAAAGTGGGAAATAAAACCGCCTAATACCAGTCACGCCAAAAAATCGCAGACACACAGTTTCAGTTGATACATCGAGAAGAGTACTTTGTCCACGCCATTGAAGATGGCTGCCGAAGTTGCAGCTGAAACGTTTGGTAGTAATAACCAACAAAGACCACGACATAACAGGTCGTAAACAAAAAAATATATGCACAATAGATGTTATTCATAATATTTTTACTAACATTAAAAATGTTTTATTAAATAAGCTAAATGTTACAATTTTGTTCAAGTAAAAGTGTTATTTGTGCTAGTATTATTTTTGTTAAGACATGTACACATTTGATGACATGCTACTTACGTTGGGTGAATGTTTGGGAAATGCTAATTCTGCAGTCAGAAGATATGCAGAAGAATTTCCTCTTCAAAATGTACCAAATTTGAGGACATTTCTTAACGACCACGAATTGCCAGAACAGTAGAAGCCAAAGAACAAATTCTAAATATTGTTGAGCAAAACCCAACTGTCAGCTCGATACAAATAGCTTTAAGGTAATTTGCAATCTACAGTAACTAGAGTATTGCGTGAACAGTCTTTGCAAGGTTTTCAGGAATTTCTTCCTGACGATTTACCAACCAGAATGGAGTTTTGCCAGGCAATGTTAAAAAAAACCAAAGATACCCACATTTCATCAATAAAATTCTTTTCACTGATAGGCCACATTTACAAGGCAAGGTGTCTTCAATTTGCACAACTCCCATTTTTTTGCTAAAGAAATTTCTTTTGTTGTGCGAGAATACCATTATCAACATACATTTAGAGTCAATGTTTGGGCAACGACAATGAGTAGTGATATATTCCTTTATTTTTTTATTTTACCGGGCCATTTGAACGGCAATATATATTTACATTTTTTGGAAAAACAGCTCTTTCAAATTTTAGAAGATGTGTCTCTACAATTGCGAAATGAAATGATACTCATGCATGACGAGACTCTGTCCCATTTTACAAGGGCTGCCAGAATGTGGTTACATCAAAATTTAATTGCCAGATGGCTAGACAGGAGTGCAGATGCACCCATTTACTGGCCTGCTTGGTCGCCAGACTTCAATCCATTGGAGTTTACTGTGTGGGGAAATTTAAAGTATAGGTTCTACAATTATTCAGAAATCAATAAATGAAAAGGTTATGTTATTTTAAACCTGACAAGAATACCAGATATATTTAACAACAGTATTATTATAAAATGTTCAGTTCGTTCTTCACCTTTATAAATATTGTAATTTGTAGTTTATTCCCTAGTGTATAAGAGAACGTGAATTTTTTCTATATTTTTTCTAAACTTTTTTTTTAGTTTTTTGCCATTTCTTATAAATATTGTTTATTTTTCAACACCTTTTCGACATTTGTTTTCTTAACCTGTCTTATTACATTAGCAATCATATCAATTAACCTACTTTTAGTTGGTATATTTTAGTAAGAATAAATAAATATTAGTATTATTAGTGGATTAGTACTGTTAATAATTCTTAATTAAATCATTGCTTCATGTTGCTACCAATCAGAATTCACCAATTTAATTTTTTCTCTTAGCCTTAGTATGTCAGAAGATGAAATTGGTTACAGTAAAAATATATATCTTTGTGGGTTTCAAAGGACATTTTTTTTCTACTATTTGTTCTAACCAACTCACACATGGCGTAATTGAAGTTTTTATGTATAAGATTCGTTTATGATCAAACTTGAGATTTTTCAATGCTGTTATCCTGGTAACGTTAACAAATTATCTATTCTGCAAATACATTTTAAAAGTCAAATTATACAAAAACGATTCACTCTATCGCGTTTAAATAAGAATACCTTTTTTGCAGGAGAAACTATGGAAATTTGTTTTTCTTGACAGCTTAAATAAAAAAATACCCCCTTAAACTACCCCTCTAAACATTATTTTTTTCTTTTGTTTTACCATTAAATCAAATGATATAAAACTTATAAGTTCTCCAAGAAATATGGAGTTGATACTTTGCTCCAGTTGGAAGTTAGGACCTCCTTTGAATGGCTTTATCTTCCTTAATTCAAAATTTCGTACATTATTTTATAGCAAACATACCTTAATTTTTGTTGTTCTTTCACCTCCTAAAATATTTGTATTCCTTTTTGACTCACTAATTTAAGACGATAGTTCAGTTGGTGCAACCCAACTGTGAACGTCCTTTGGAGGTCATGAGATTTTTTACTGAAATTCATTCCTGTAAGTCAGACTTTAGGTAATGGTGTTGTAAAGGGAAGGGAGAATATTGAGAACAAAAAATATATTACTTTTATTAGTGCGATTTTGTCGAAATGGTCTTATCTACATTAAATGTGCTATAAAAAAATATGAAATTACAAAAAGCGATAGTAAAAGTGGCACCTTTGCATTATACTTTTACATCATGTGTCGAAATCGAGCTCAGTTTTGGTGAGAGTGCTAGTTTTAAATGCAAAGTACAACTCTACTCGCCATTTTGATTATACTTTTCCATCACTCGAAGTGAATACATCTGTCATATCGCAAAATAATGTTTATGTCGTCTTTATTTCATTCTATCTCGTATAAATTCAGGGTTATAGCAAAATTGGACCAAAAATTGGTCTTTAAATGAAGTGGGTGCTAAATTAATTGTTGGTAAAAGTTGCATATTTTACGTTAAGAAACGCTGTCAAGAACAATATAGTTTGCGAAAACCTTTCAGATAAGATATAGGGAATAGTATGAGAGCCCACTACAAATTTCGACCGTCATCTGATAACGACATGAAATATGCTCCAAAGACATGTAACAACATTTAGTATGAGAGCACACTGCAAATTTCGACCGTCATCTGATAACGAAATGAAATATGCTCCAAAGGCATGTAACAACATTGTACTTTACCAAATTGCACCTGTGCCAATCCCTATCCTGAGCAAAGTCGTTAAAAAAATTATTTTATATTCAAAAAATCACATAAAACATGACAGCGACAATTATGTTTTCCCTTAAGATTACAATCCTAATTCATTGTGTATCTAGCTTTTAAACCTGAATTATTAATATTTTTACCTACCTTTTAAACCATATTTATGTATGAAAGGAAGAAGGATGACATTGTATAATCCATTTGCAGAGATAGTCAATAATAATTATAAACTCTTGTTCGACAATTATTTTAAACCATAATCATAGTAGTTTTTTTGTCGTTTCTATGGCAACCTATAAAAATGAATCACAACAATAGACATACAAATAAATTTTTAAATCAGCAAACATTGATTCATATTTTTAATGATATTTCCTACTAATCGTGGATAGATGTTTTTATGCGATGTTAAGAGGAAGAAAATGTTTCCCTTTAACGATATATTTCAAGATATATTTGAATGTTATTTTCTGAAAAACTTTAAGATCAAACAAAATTAGCGCTCATGCCTTATGTGATTTTTTTAATATAAAATAATTTTTTTAGGCCACTTTGCTCAGGATTGGGATTGGCACAGGTGCCATTTGGTAAAGTACAATGTTTTTCCATGCTTTTGGGGTATATTTCATTTCGTTATCAGATGACGGTAAAAATTTGCAGTGGGCTATTGGGCTAGAAGGCCTTTAAAGACAATGTCTCCTCGAAATTTAACAGCTATAGCAAGAATAGTGTTAGTAATATTTTAATACAGACCTATTGGCTGCCACAACACTTTCCAATCTTCTTGGTAAGGACAAAATTAAATGTCACATGTCATAGGAATTTTCGAGCTCTTTTCAAGCATTTTCAGTAACTTTCCATAGTTAACCTCGGTTTGCCGGCCTAAGGTCTCTTAACATGCAAATGTCGTAAGTCCCAAAATATAAATTTTACAGGGTACTGAAAAAAAAAACGTTTTATTTATTGCGTCGTTATAATTTAAGTGAAAAAACTACGTGGGTATTAAAAAATAGATAGTAAGACGACCTATTATGTATTTTATTTTCTAGTAACTAAAGCAAAAGGGCAATTATACCTTTAGCTTTAAATTTTAATATTTTTGGAGTTACGATATTTGCATATTAGGCCGACGATACATACATTTTTAATGGGATTTAAGTCAGGACTTTTTGCTGCCTATGGCAAAACATTTTTTATTGTTGACCCACTCTTTTAATATTCGAGCCTTATGAACTGGAGAATTTCCTGTGATAAAAATCAATTATTATATAAAAATTTACGAGTATAATATGTTAAAATTAAAAATTATCACAAAAAATTTCTCTTACTAATGATAACATCACGGTGTCTAAGGTGTTTATTTAATGCTCAGCTGTTAATTGTCTATCAATTTGCCAGCACATTCCAGGACTGTTAACGCTTAACCACGCCAGAACATTGATGGAGAAGCGCCCATTATCAGTAGTACCCAACGTATAATTCTCTTCGAATCTCGAGTTCCTAGGACGATAAAATCGTAGCCTTCCGCTGTTAGAAGATTGGAGCATCTTTTCATTCCAGAATTCCAATTCATTCCAAAATTTCTCACCCTGAATTCCAAATCATTTACACAAACAGCTCTCGTGCGCTTATTTTCTGCAGTGAAAAAAATATAGCAAAGAAGTTTTTTAAGCCTGTTTTAGAACGCATTTGAGCTGTTCTGGGAGATCCTGGAAATAATATTTATTATCGTGCTTTTACAGCGGTTCTAAAAGGATATTAACGCATAAATTCTACGAGAGAATTATTTTCATTTTTATTTATT